CTTTTCAACGTAAAATCTCTTTTGAAGGTTTTTGAAACACAACTGGAAATTGCATTGTGTGCAATTTCTTGCTGCTTACATATATGCCATCTTTCAAGTCAAATGCTAACACATTATTCACATATTTCATAATTAAGTGCTGCTATTTCTTGGTTCTTTTCTTTTTGGTCCTGGTAACATGAACTATTTGCATTTCAAGTATGTGAGGTGTTATTGAGGTGTATTTTATGTACAAAGGTCTGTTCAGGTACTCATTTAGCAAAAACAAGCTAGTGTTTATGTCGTATGCCCAAAGGTAGGTTTGCTGTTGGAACTTGCACATTTACATTTTTGCTGAGGTTATTTAATCTGTCAAGTTATAGAGCCAGTATGCAACTGACCTTTATAAACTGCAATCGTAAACTTTTATTCTGCTCCTGTTGTGGCTTACCACAACACAGTCCCCCTCCAGGGCAGCAAGCATTCCCCTTCACGCCCTACCCTGCAGCGTTTGTCACCTCTGGATGGAGGCAGGGGAAGGCCCAAGGACATTGTCGGGGTGTATATAAGCACAGCAAAGATTCTTTCTTCATCCTGTATGAAATAATAGGTTACTGTGCCACAGGGTTTCCTGAGCCATCAGTATCCTCTCTCTTCTACTCAGAGGGACTTTTGGTTTTAATTCCCGCTTGATACCATGTCTGGTAGGCAGACCTTCTCTGGGGAAGATCAGGGTGGGGAAATGGGAGAACAGAGTAGGAAATGGCATTTATGAAGTGTTTCCTACTCACCTCCCTGCTGGGTGTTTATGTGCTTCTTAGCAGAAAGAACACTACATTGTGCTCTGCAAGGTCAGATTGCAAAAGGCAGTTGAGCAACACTTCTCAACAGCCAGGCTATAAGCAGTCATTAAGAACAGAAGGCGACAGTATCAGCCCAGGATGTTAGTGAGTGTACCAGTTCTGGACAACTGAGTCTCATAATCCTCCATGGTGAAATGAAGTCGGACCCCAAAACCAGGAAAAGACTTTACTATCACTTCAGTTTAACTTCTGCTGTCTTTTGCAGATGAAAAAGACTACTTTTGTCAATGAAAGAACAGCTCAAATTCTGCAGTCAAGCCTGTGCTTCTGCTGGAGTCACTTTAAGAGCGACAGCTGCAGTAATGAATTTCAATATGAAGATTATATGAACATCCCCCCCAATTCCTCAAAGAACTGGCCAAGACTGCCATGCATTCCACAGAGGCTTCTTTCAGGTATCAGGTAGCAACTGCTTTTGGCCATTAGTGGCTTGGGTTGGTATTGAAATGTTGAGTATTCCTAAAGATTACAAATCCATCATCAACTAGATCTGAGCAGGTACTTCAGTGCTTCCCAATTCAAGTACTATGTGTGAAAAGGTGCCCTGGGCTTTAGGGTTTTAATAACAACACTTTGTACTTATAGGAAAGGATCAAGGCTAAAAGAAACTGCCAGGTGTGGAAGGGAATTGATTCAGGGACCTCTTGAGGACTCTCAATCCACATAAGTGCATGGGACCAGATGGGCAGCACCCAAGGGTCCTGAGAGAGCTGGCTGTTGTCATTCTTAGGCTGCTCACTATCATCTTTGAAAGGTCACGGAGATCAGGGAGGTCTTCTGTGACTGCAGAAAGGCAGATGATGCACCCATCTTCAGAAAGGGCAAGAAGGACAATCTAGGGAACTACAGAATAATCATGGAGTGAGCAATCTTGGAAGTAATTTCCGGGCACATGAAGGAGAAGGTAGTGAGTGGGAATAGCCAGCATGGATTTACAAGGGTAAATCATGCCAGACCAACCTAATTGCCTCCTGTGATGAGATGACGTCATCTGCTGATGAAGGGAAAGCAGAGAATGTTGTCTACCTTGAGTTTAGCAAGGCTTTCCATGTAGTCTCCCACAGAATCCTTGTATCCAATTTCAGATGGTCCAGTCTAGATATAGGCAAAAATCTGACTGGATCATTGATCAAAAGCATTTATACTCTGTCCGGAGGCAGGTTACAGTGGAGCTCCTCGGGGGTCTGTCCTGTCTGATACCTTTATCAATGACCTGGAGGAAGAGACAGGATGCAGTACTATTAGGTCTGCAGAGTTATGATACTAAATGGAGGGTGTAGTTGATACACTTGAGATCAGGTCTGCCATTCAGAGGGATTTACACTTGCTGAAGGCTTAGGCCAAGAGGAACCTCACGAAATTCAGTAAGAACAAATAGAGAATCCTTTCTCTCAGACAGACTAACGCCCTGCATACCCCAGGGCATGACTGGCTTGGCAGCAGCTCTGCTGAAAAGGACATGGGAGGCTCGGGGCAGGCTGAACAGGAGTCAGTGGTAAACTCTGGCAGCAGTGAGAGTACATCAGAGTGTACCAACAGAGGCACAGATGGCAGATCAAGGGAACTAATTATTCCCATTCACTCAGCACTCATTAGACCACAGCTGGCATAGTGGGTCCAGTCTTGAGTCTCCCAGTACATGAAAGCTGTTGATAAACTTGGAACAACTCCACTGGAGGGCCAACAGAATGGCTGGATGTTGAAACATGAGACTTGCGAGGAGAGGCTGAGACATTGGGGTTTGTTCAGCCTACGGAAGAGAGCAGTAACTTTACAGTTCCTAAGAGGAGGTTACCTAGAAGACAGGGCTGGGCTCTCTGCCAAAGAATGAGAGACCAAGGTTATAAACGAACAGGGGAGGCTCTGGCTAGATAGAAGGGAAAAAAAAAATAAATGACACTATGGGGATAATTAGGTAGTAGGCTAGATTACCCAGAGGGGTTGTGCAGTCTCCACATGGAGTATTTTAAGACCTGACTGGACAAACGCATAATCAACCTGGGACCTCCCAAAGTCCCTTCCACTCTGAATTATTTTATGATAACTCTCAGGATGGATCTTTTCCATCTTCTCTGTGGAATTTCCTCCGTGTAATACAGTTCATAATCAGTCTATGTATTTAAAGTTGGTGTATATACTGCTATTCACCCCCCAGACCAGGAAAATTACATAAAGGGTTGCCCCCCTAGTTTTAACTAAACAAGATCTAAGACAACTTGAGCAAGAACATCACTAGACAGGATGCGACAACATTTTTTTATTGTTTTAATACGAGTGAATAGATTAAGAGATCTGAAATGTTGTAAAGCAATATACATACCGAATAAATAATATGCACAGGAGAGTCATGTCTACATCATAACACTGGCTAGTATTCAGAATACTTAAAATAAATCCAGTGACATTGGATAAAGTCCATAAAAATGCTATCCTGTCTTCCCTTGTATGAAATTGTTCAAGTATAAAAAAATCCAATACAGTGTAAAATATTAAATTCCATTTCGGTCAAGAATAAAAATTGCAAGTATTGTAGTTTCACAGGACAATGTAAAGCAGCATTTTCTAGCAAAGGGAAAAATAGTCAGTCTACATACAGATGAGTGAGAAAACGGCACTAATGTGTTTGAGAGGTCTACATGAAAAACTAGTAGAGGGAAAAAGAATGAACTAGCAATATTTTATGTAAAAACCTAAAAAAAGTGTTAATTTAAGAGTACCCTCATACAGTGCACATACTGAATTTAAATAAATCCAAGTCAACATCCTTAGTTAATTAGGTTAATATTTAATATGCTACATCTAAGCCTACTAAATAATTTATGCCATGAGATGAATACATAATTTTACAGTGTCACATCTAAAGTTGCTTTCTTTAGAGTGCAGCATAGTAAAACTTTCAAAATAAATATTTCTTTTTAAATAGCATAACAATTAAGGCACAGTATAAATCACATACCATTAACCCTTCAAGAACTGCAGTCTTGGTAACAAAAGTTGCCTCGTGTACTGTACGTTAGCTAATAAATATTTTAAATAGAATCCTGAAATAGATACTAAAATTGTACAAATGGTTTCAGAAAAGAAAATTCCCTTAAAACAGTTCTTAAAGGTTTTAATTCATTAAGCTTCTTCCTGCCTTTATTCACAAGTTACGAATAGATGCAATAAATAGAAAGAGAAGGCTGTTGTAGTAAAGGGCTGATCCTATTTTAGAATCAGAATAGCTGACACCAGCAGTTAAAGTTTCCCAAAAGTGAAACAGGATGGGGCGAGGGATTAGGATGTGACAAGCTCATCACATGAGCACGAGTGATGTGTTCTGTCCAGAACTGTCTGTGTTATTGATTGTCTCTACAGCTGTTGCACCCCTTACTTCCACATCACTTGCTCCATAGTTCCACTCATCCAGAGGACAGAGAAGAAAATAACTTTGGTGCCTGTCCGCCATCTTACTAGCCGGCCATCTTCCTTGGTTGTTCGATGCCCGTTAGTGAGACAGTGAGAAGGTACTATCTCACGAAGACAACTTCTGAAAGCTAGAAAGGACAATCAGTGCTTTAAGCTTGTTTCCTCTTAAAATGGATAAAGATTACATATTGCTGACTCGTTTTTTTCCCTGGTTCAAACTTTTCAAGTACCATTTTCTTACTTATAAAAGGCAGTTTTGCTTCCCTGATACTGTAAAAGGTACACCTTTGCCTTTTTTGGTTCTTGTTTGTTTGTTTGAAAATGTGAAGTCCCATTGCTACTCCTGCCACTCTTTCATGACAGTACAGTATTTTTTCCCCCATTTTCGTCTGGCTTGATACTTGAAACTAGACATGCCGCACTACCCCTCCCCTCTAACAACATGATTTGGATGCATACTGTATGAAGACAGTGGAATAAAAATCTTTAGTTTCGCAATAGCATCGCTTTCCTTAAAGCTCCTTAGTTAATATCAATTGTCTCTGATTAACTACTTATACTGGAAGGCTGAAAAGAGGAAGAGAAAGAGCGAGCTTCCTTCAGGAGTCCATCTGCTATTGCATACGGTCTGTCTGCAGCTGTTGGGGCTGGTACTGGCCAAAAGCGGCAGCAGCC